GTGCAGGTGATAAGATTACTGGCAGTGCGACAAGTGAGCCCACTTCTAAGTCACCCCACTGGTGTTTTGCAGCTATGCTCGCACAATGCACGTCTATGCTAGAACAAGTTCTCCAGTCTGAGGCCAGTACGTGGTTGGCCGTGCCATTGGCACGGACCCCGGTCGTCTCCGCTGGAACCCGCTCGTGCTTGGCTGTGCTTGGCAGGCAAGGCGCCTTGGAAAGGTCCTTTTTCGAAGGCTTGGAATCACCCGGGGCTTCACTGCACGAGCTCAATGTCCGGCGTCAGGCTGGCGAGGCAGCGGCCATCAAGGCTGTTGAGGCGGGCCACTCAACCTGCGTCTCTTGGGTGTGTGGTCACCTACCCTTGTGCGCTTCATGTCAAAAGAGTTCCTTTCCGGATATATTTGTCTTCCGTATGTTTTTGGTACCTAGGTAGTTAAGCTCGCTTGCAATTCGTGTTGGCAGAGTAACGCACTGCAGACGCGAACATCAAGGCTGGGGCACACCAGCATTGTTTCTTGTATTTCGAGCAGCATGCGCATTTTGTTAGGTGTTGTTTTGCTCAAAGCGTACCGGATTGATCCTACCCCGTTAGTTTTTTCGCGCACTTTCATGTGAAGTACATGTTGGGTTACATGCATTGTATTGCGGCTCAAAAATGTTCCAGGTTCAGTGAGGGAATCATGTGTGCTTGTTGCAACACAGACAGATCTGCGAAAACTGCTGTGCCACCATGAAGGAACATACCAAAAAGCCTCGATTTCTTGCCACAACCACTTGCGAATTATTTTTGCATGCAAACTGTTGCATGCAAGACACATTGCAGGAGCATGTGCTGTAGCGACAAAAATGTATGCTGCGGGCTGGTGTTCCCCATGTTATCATGTGAATGCATATCCGAGGGTGTGTAGCTGCTTGCTGACTGAATTTTCGAAATAGTCGTAGAGAAGCTGGTAGCCGACGCTCTCCCTCTCCCCCTCTCTCCCTCCCGCTGTCGCTGTCTCTCTCTCTCTCTCTCTTTTCTCCGTTCCATGGCAGCAGCGGTCTGAAATGCATGTGCACTGCAACCCTGAACAACCGGCACAAATTCAATTAAGTCCTGTTGACAGAATCCCTTGTGTGTTGACCCTATCCCCTAGCCCTGGTCGTCAGCTGTCATCTCCTGAATTTGTTTACGGGTGGAGGTGAATGGGCGTACAGTGTTGCTGCAGGAGTGCTTTCTGGCTCGGGGGCAGCAATATTGTACCACGCCATAATATCAGGAGGAATGTGCAAGGAGTATGCAATGGAACGAAGTCGGTATGATCAGGCCGTCACCGGCGGCCCAACTGCGACACGTGCCCACTTGTCCAAGGCTCGGTGTTCTGTCATCCAGATGCAAGGTCACCATGTTTGGTCTTGCTTTGCTGGTGTTCTTCTTGTGCTGCCGGTGCCATTGCTGCCGCTGGCACCCGTATGGGAGTCCTATCTGCAAGCATACTGACACGCAGAAGCTGTATGCCACGTGATGTTTCGGCACAACCTCGCATAATAGGGCTTCTGCAAGCTTTCAAGACGATACCTTTAAGATCCATTGAGAACCACGCCGCAGACCTTGTGCCTGAAACAATATGCCGTGCCCTAGCGATGTTGCAGAGCGTGTGGCTGCACGCCTGCCTTTGGGCAAGCTGTCAACAGTGACGACCACTCCGCTTCCGCGCTTCCTCAGCAAAGGAGCTGGCGGACCGATACTGCCCGACATTTATGGGGTCGTGATACAGCAGGAAGCCGTCGGACACGTCGATAAGGAAGATGACGATGATGATGATGATGATGAGGATGAGGATGAGGATCGGCCGGGCTTTGTGGTGAAGGCCTGGCTGTTGAAGCTGGCCCAGGTTGATGATGGTACGCTGCAATGGCAGGATTTCATTCCACACTGCGAGAAATGCCAGCGTACGCTCGGTCCAGTTCTTGACGGCGATGGATCAAAAAAGTGCCCTGTGTGCAAGGGAGCGAAAGGGCCCGGCAAATGCTTCCAGTTTGCATGCCCAGAGAGCAGCCCATTGAGTTACTCTTGCGGCAATTTGCCAGCGAAGGACCGCCCTGTGTATTGCGGCAGCCATCCTTACTTTGCTGGTTACTTGCCGGGGGACCAATGTGCAGGATCTTTTGGCCCACCGCTGTTCAGCATGACGCGAAGGATGCTCAACAACCACATTGACTTTGTTGCAGCATCCATGGATCGGGCAGGTTGTGAAACGCAGATTGATCTATTTCCCGTGTCACAGGAAGTGTGGCAAAACGAGAAAAGATCAGTTCGAGTCGTCTTGACCGAGCATCGGCAATCTGTGATCTCTGCAAGTATATTGCCTCCACATGAGGTTCTGTCCTCCCAGGTTTCCTCAGCAGTTGCAATTCCGACTGATTACTTCGAAGATGCAGGCATCATTGGCATCATCTATTTACAAAGGCTTGGACGGGCAAGTGACTGCGTTGTCAAGCGTGATGCTGATCTCCCTGCAGCATGGGCTGGCTGGTCCGAAATCGATTCTGAAGGGAACCCGGAGTTCTTTCAGCAGGTTGTTGTGCTCTCACATTTGCACTGCTGCGTGGGCTTGTCGCGCGACAGCTTATGGACGATGGATTTGACAGAGGTCAAGTCTGGTGGCATGTCAGCTAGTGGCATTGCCGGCAAGCTCAAGTGGCTCAAGGTCATGGGGCTGCCAGCGGAGCGTTGCAGGCTTGACGAACTTCCACACCGGCTTCTGGCTCGCGGTCATGGCGATGAGGTCATCATTTTTGCGTTGGAGGGTGCGAAGTTCAGGCCCCAAATGCTGGTCCAGCTTTCTGGCAAGCCAATTGGTCAAAGTGTGCGCGCAACAAAGCTGACCTCCACGGTGCACGTTTGTTTGACCTCTGCAGATTTTGCTGACGCTAGCTTGCCATCACGCTTGCTCCCCACGGTGACCCGCATGGGGGGCAGGCAGAGTGGCTACCTCTTCTTTGACCAGCTGGGGCAGGCACATCTGCTACGGGATGAAGCCATCGTCGCAGATCATGAGGCGTGGGCGGAGCCAGACATGAAAGATGAAGAGGCGATGCAGCGAGCCGTCACCTTTACTCTGCAAAAACCTTCAGGTGATTCCGAGAAGCGTTTTTGCCTTATGGGTATGCTGATGCACTTTGAGTATTTTTCCAAGCTCTTCAAAGGGTGGCGAGAGGGAGTTTCTGCTGAAGTCTGCATGAGCGACATTGACCCCGACGCCTTTGATCACTTCTTGAAGTACGCACAATCTGGGAAGGTCGACTCCAACCTGGACCTTCAAATGCTCATGGAGCTGATACGCTTCGGGAACAAGTGCATCCTTCCAGATTTCCTGTCACGCTGCCTCGTCCGTGTTTTGCGCATTCTGGATGATCCCAGGCAGATGCGAGAGAAGAGTCCTACAACGCTAGCTGAGCTGCTTCTGCTTGCCGATGATGCTGCGACCTCTTGCCCGACCTTGAAGATGAAAGTCATCGACTCGATCCTTTGCTTCCGGAGTGATGTCTTGAAAGACCCTGAGTTCCTGTCCAAAGTTGTTGCGCAAGACTCCAGTTTGCTTGCGACCATGCTCTCTCTGGTGGTCTCGGAGCGGAAGGAGGACAACAAGTGGTACGTCAGAGTGAGGGAGAGGAGTACTGATGCCAAGCGGAGAAAGCTGGAGGGAGAGATGCAATTCAATTTATGGTATCGACAGAGCAGGGCTCCTCGCTGGAGCGGTTGTGGATCTGGTGGAGTGAGCACTCGCGAATGAGTGCTGGGGTTCGAGCCATCACCTCAAGAATGAGCCCTCCCGAACATCCAGTAGCAGTTCTTTTGCATTGAAGTTATCATATCGCGCAGACGCAGATTCTGTACGACTGTTGGGGTAGAACCAGCGCAAGCAGGTGATGGCAGCAGAGCTGGCCAGTTCTGGACATGCCACGTTTCACTCACCTTCGTAGGTGGTAGGGAGGCCGCAAAGTCTTATGTTGGTGATTGCGTTTCCTGAGTTCGGAGGGGCTCCGAGAAGACAATTGCTGCATTTCGGAGATAGATTTTAGAGATTGGATGTGCAGAGTCGCACATCGAGCAGTTTCTTGTGAAGTTGCGGTTGAATTATGCCCTGGCGTGGATACCAAATCTCCTAGAACTCATGCTCGTACGGGCAATGGCAGGGGGCGTGTTGGATGCTGATTTATGTTTTTGGGAGTTCCTTTGTCTCAGCACCCGCTTCGGTTTGTCATTAGCTTTAGCTTGGAAGGCGCAGGAGATTTCTGAACGCCACAGCATTCCGTCTTGAATCTACAAGATGGCGGAAGCTACCCATGCGCAGCTACGTAGTTACGTCCCGTCGTGCATGTGCCTGCAGCATCTGCAATGCTCAGTCACGGTGTCTATGTCGCAACTCCCAGAACTGCTTGATCTTTTCGAGACGGCCACATGCACCTAAGCCTGGTTGCACCATGTTGAAGAACAGGAACATCGAGGTCTGTTTTCCTGGCAACCAAGTGTTTCCTGGAACAAGTGATATAAGCGGCTCCATCACAAGCGGATCCGATCATTTGGTTGAGACGCAGGCCGGAGGCGCGGAGTGCGGACGTCGTGGTGCCGTTGCGTGTGGGAGTCTCGGTGGGTGCATTCGGCAGCAAAACTGGTTGAAGAGACGGTTCTTGCGGAGTCGCGGTAGTCGGTAGTTCTGAAAACACACGCCATTGGAACATGGCGCACGCTTCAGCGTATGGAAGTGTTGATTCGCTGCGAGCTTACCAGGTGTCTTTGGACCAGCTTTACCGTGCAGCTACGGGACGTGCCATCATCCCAACGTTGATCTGCGAATGGTCTCCTGCGTTCTCGAGCGAGGTGCGTGTAGAAGCTGGGCAGCTGAAAAGAGTTGCGAAGAAACTGCGACAGGCACGTTCCCCACTGCTTTTGAGACTGCCTGGCCTAAAGCAGAAGCATGGCAGCATGTTTTCGCCGTGAAGATTCCTGGAGGTGCTCTAGAGTCGACCTCGAGTCCTGCAAGGCGCTCCCCTGCCTGCCGCAATCTGTGCTTCGCGTCGGGCCCTACGCTTTGCCTCGTTTCAGGAGATCTGCAGACGCCATGGCTGGGCCGGCTTCACCTACTGGGAAGACAAAGGTTACTCCCTCGCGCAGGAGGCTCCTTAATTGTTGTGCAGGGGCTTGCAGGCGTTCTTCCTCGTTTGGCTCAACTCTGGAAGTGACTGGGGGAAAGGATTTCAGGAAGTCCTCCATTGACACGTGCCGATTGGTCGGGTTATCTCTGTGACCATTTGCGTGTTTGAAGTTCAGCTGTGTGTCCATGGTCTTTCCCGTTCGAATCGGTCGGTTGTCGTCTTGCTTTTATCATGGGTTTCTGACATCCCAGTAGTTCTGCGCATCGCAACACATTGCCAAGCACACATTGACTGAAAACACGTCGCATTGTTGGCGCAGTTTTCCTGACCCAGGGCCCAGGGAGAGAAGGCTGAGACAGTTGACACAGCCCTCAGCCCTCGGCCCTCTGCCCTCAGCCCGACGTGCTCCCAGCTTTGGGAGGCCTACAAGCCACTGCAGCGAGGAGGACTTCCCGGGCGGAGCAGTGGTGGTCCAGTCTCTATGCAAGATGTTTCTTTCCTCTGTGCAGCCAATCGTCGCCAAAGTCAAGTTAATCGTCGCTATAGTCACTCGTATCAAAATTCCCTTCAGGGCCCGTGCTGAGCTGCGACGACGAGCCCACCATCGCCGAGCGCTGTGGCCGGAGCCCGGCGCAGGTCTGCCTGCGCTGGAACCTCGAGCAAGGCGCCGGGGCCCGGTCCATCAATATACATTTGAGAGAGAGAGAGAGAGGTACATCTATACATATATATATATATACAGATGTATATAGATGTATATAGATGTATATATCAGCCGGAGCAATGTCGGGTGCCGGTCAGAACTGATAGCAGAGAACGTGGGGATTGGGAGCCGGGGTGCCTTTGGTGTTTCGGAGGCAATGCTATCGTTTTCAAGAGCCTCACTCCCTCCCGGATCGAGGAGAACGCCGGGGACTTGGAGGTGGCAAGCCTCTTCATGTTTCCGCAGCCCGATAGCCGAGGTCGACGTTTTCGACTTCTCCCTTGGTAGCGACGAGGTGGCGGCGCTGGATACAGTGACCACCCACAAGGTGCGGGCGGAGGCACAGAGCACGGACCCCAGCCCAGGCGAGAGGGTTTCCATGCATTTCCCTGGGTTTCTTCAGCTCAGAAGCACATCCGAGCCGAGGCCACTGGCACCTGCGCCGCAGCGGGACGGATGCGCCCCGGGGTCCCGGTCTGCGGCCCGAGAAACGGACGGTGCAGGAGGCCTCGGGACGTGTTTGTGCCGGGTGTTCCCATACCCGTTGCATGCCTGTCTGTGGTGGCCACATATCTGCAAGCCAAAGTTCCCGGTTTCAATTCGCCTCGCATGTGCCTATCCGAACGTTTTTCTTTCGGAGTTCTCGTGCGAGTGCAAGTCCATGATTGTGGCCACGGCCTTGTGACACATGACGCGAAGCCTGAGGCTCCGTTGTGAAGTGTGTTGTTCTTGGTTTCTTTGTTGTGTTAGGGGACGCTCGCATCGAGAGATTCTGCAGGCCAGACGCAAAGCTACGTCTCAGCTTGTCCTGCCAGAGCTGCCGGTGGAGCAGGGGCCTGTGATGATCTTGCATGTGCGATTCAGTCTTAATTTAGGCCATGGTTCGTTTGCCAAGGTTGCTGGAACATCTCTCCGGCTTCTTGGAGGTCACAGATTCTCCACCTCTCTGCGCTCAGTGCCGCAACCTTTCGCAGGCTGGGAATCGGTTGACATAGCTATAACCACCCATGCCCTTTTTGCCAACACCAGGACAAATAGTGGCAACAAATCGTACCCTCCCCCACGCAACTCGTCTGCTGGATTGGACTTCAAACTACTAAACTCACCAGACTTTTGCTTGTCTCCCTTTCCTGGAGTTCCTAACCCTCCCGCATGGCCCGTCTCATATTTTGACCTAAGCTAGGTGCAAATTCTTACACCGGGAACACGGCGGGATAGCTAAGGTGGGAACGCTCTGATCCTTGATGGGCTCTGATTATACCGGCAGCCCTGATGGGAAGCAAAGGAGCCTCGATGGCCACGGCTAAGACCCCCACAGCCACTGAAGACAAAAGCCCAAAAGCCCAATCCTGCAGGAGTCCACGTCGCGTCCTGACTATGACTATAGGCGATAGATTAGGGTGGGAAGGACCTGAGGACCTGTATACTACTCATGGTTGAAGCCCACGTTACATTCAGGACGGGAGCTTCGGGTGGCCCGGCCCCCGGTTCTGAACAACTTGCAAAAACTGTATCCGACTCGACAACCTGTAGATTCAGACATGGGCGGGCCAGGCGTTTTTTTTTTCTCCGGCGGCTTCCGAGGGATCCATGAGGCTGCTTTTGCTCGAAGGACTGTTTGCTTGAGACGTCACCTGTAGCGAAGATGAGGTAGTCACTGCATATGGAGCTTCGATGTTGGACCCAGCGTGCAAGACAAAGCTGAGGTGGGCTGATCCTTCCGCTCGGCATCTTCAGTTTCCCAAAGGTTTTGCTGTGCGAGGTTCGCAAGGTCTTTGCAAGACGGTCGGTCTCAACCATCAAGTTTGCTTTGGTTTGAAGCGTGAAGAATGTTTGTGAAGGGAACAGCAGATTGTCATATCTACATGGCGTGCCCGAAACGCTAAACCCCGAACAGGACTGCTGCCTACCGCCCCCCCCCCCCCCCCCCCCAGCCCTGCCCCTCTCCCTGCCCCAGTTTCCCGAGCCTGGTCGCGTTTAGTTCTTGAATCTTGAAAGCGACTGCCATGACAGGGAAAAGCGTTGCCCTATTCGATGCTCGTAAGCCGTGCACTTACTCCAGCTGGAGGCGTCGTGAGAATTTGATGCCTCACAAGTGGGGAAGACATGGAAGTTATTATTCAATGCAGCATTTGACAAAGTTGTCAGGAAAGTTCGAGGGTCAGCGTTGAGAGTTTGAGAGGCGATCCCAAGCCCCAAGGTGGCAGGAGAGATGTCACGAATCCTCCCAAGGACAGGGATGACAGTCTGGAGCGGCTGTTGGCTTAAATGGCTTTCTTTCCTCCCGGAGGCAAAACGTGAAGAGTCAGGGGGGGGAAGTTTGCGGAGCATCTGGAGTTGTCGGAGACGCGCCTCCTCCTCGTCCTGGGGCGACCCATGCTAGCCTGGGTACCCAGAAGATGATGTCAAGCTGTTGGGGTCATGGAGCTCTTGAACTTGCCAAGTCCTGGTTTGAAACAGGTGGTTTCCTGCAAGCGTTTTCCAGGCGATGACCTGATGATGGAGGCCTTCGACCATGAGAGTCGCAAATTAGCATGAAAATATATCTTGCGCGTTGCTCGTGAGATTGTTACCAGCACGGATCCATCTGAAGGTTGGTGTCTCACGGGGCTTGTGTCAGTGAGAACGCGCATGGGTGCAGGAGACTGCAACTTCAAAACATGTTGGCAGTTTATATGTCGGGGAGGTTGTTCTTGTCAGCAATCTGGTTTGCCGGCTTGGGATTCACTTCTCCAAATTTTCATACAAATCCGTGCTGTGGGTTCCGCAGTTGGAAGTGTGCAGTGTTTGCCACAGGGCACTTGGCGTGCACCGGGACCTCCGGACCTGACCCTAGTCATACAGAGCTCAAGAGCCAAGTGCATGAAAATGTGCATGAGGGCTTTGGTCATGAAAGGCCTTTCTCCAACGTCATCAATGTATGAGCTCCGCACAGCGAAACCATGAAGTTACAACAGTATGTGCGCAACTTGAATTGGGTGTGCTTGCGTATAAAAGCTTGCAGCGGCTTGTGATTGTGTTTGCCAATGTCGTCCACCTGTCATTCAGCACAGGGAGCCGAAGCCCATGTTTCCAGAGTACCTGCCCAAATTTGAGGAAAGCGACATTGCGGCTGGTGGCATCCAAGAGAACAGGCATAGAGATAAGGGCAGAAACAATGTACACGTGAGAGCAAACGTCCTGGAGATTGTGGAGCTCGACACAGTCAAGGAAAAGTTTCAGGCAATCTTTGTGCTCGAGTTTACATATGTGGACCCGACACTTCACAACAAATGGCTCACGCTCAAGTACCGAGATAATGATGGGACAGTCAAGACGACATACGCTCAAGTCCTTGGGGTGATGAGAACCGATTCTTCTCGGCTTGTCATACGAACTGGAAGAAGGAATCCGGCGTCTTTAGAGATCATACAAGTCGAGGCCGCAACACAGATGAACATTGCCGACGTGCTGGCCCTGTCCTTGCCGGCTGAATTGAGGCAGGATGATGGCTGGTCAGAGCATTTTGCCTTAGATTCTTGGCCAAATTGATACGCATGGTCCATGTCAACGATCCTGTTATGGTTCCAGTGATTCGTGATTGTCCTTGTTCTTTTATGTGTAAGCTGCAGTTGCCTCGCTGCGATAAACCCAGCATCATATATTGGATTGTACAGCATTTGTCTTTGTTTTTTTTCGATTCCTATTATTCTGGCGGCCGCCTGTGCATACATTTGGCTACTATCTTCTCTGATCTTTTCAGGAGTGTTCAAGTTCAGTTTTTGCCGCCTTGACGTCTCAAGTTCATCGATTTCGTGCATCCATCACGCACATGTAAACTCGCTCTGGTCTTTTCCGATAGCCACTACATCCATCTGGACACGGTAAACCGACGGTGCACACATGGTAGTGCGTTCTATGGCGCTGCTCCGCGTCGTCGCAGCGCTTCCGAGCTGAGCTCGGAAAATTACTACTGCTGTCAGTGCCTACAGCAACACCCTGAACCCTCGACGGCCCTTACTACGAGAGTCTCGTTGTATGTAGTCAGGGCTTGGGGTAAGGTCGGTTGCAGGACTGTGTCATTATCATTTTGCAAGAGAGGCTTCTTTGCCTACAGAATGCTCGCTATTGCATTACATGATTGAAACAGCGAAAATTCCAACCTGTACACTCACCTGACAAAACCTGACACATGAAGTCTCTGAAATCTTTTGAACGGAACTGAGCTTGCAAGTAGCTGATCAGCAAAAGCTCTAAAACGTCAAGAAAACACAGGGCTAACTATTTAGGAAGACAATTCAAATCTCGTCGCAGCGTCAGGTTTCCATTCCGAAGATCAATTAAGATTTCGGCCAGCAGGACGCATCAGGTTTGGAAAAGTTTACACAATTTCAAGCTGTAAACAAACACGCTCTTTTCCGAGCGACAGAGACACTCACTCAGGACTGGTCCTTCATGAATGCAGTGGAGGAGGCAAAGATGACAGAGTTGATTAGAAGCATCAGTATGGTCGTGATGATCATAAGCAGCCTGCTAATCAAGTTCCCCCCCTGTGGCGATCAGAATGATCATCATAATCACTAGGATCATCGTGATCAGGATGATCATGCTGATCGTAATGTTCCTGAGATCGTAATGCTCATGTAAATCACAACGATCAGACGTAACGATCATAGTTGAGTGAAGGCGAAGATCATGATGCAGTCTCGGCACATCGAGTATTTCAGTGCGCGGGGAGCCCATGTATCCGGGCGAAACCTGGTGTGGTAGGGGTTTGTAGCCTGGCGAGTTTGCGGGGGAACGTTTGGCGCTTTGGGGCTTAGGGTTCTGGCGTTGGACTTAGGTGTATACGGGTTAATTAGCTTCGCTCAAATGTTGTGTGATGCCGGCTAAGCGGCCGAGTGCTTTCTAGTTAGGGGGGTTCAGGGCGCTCCTCGGATTTTGGGTGAGTTTGCTCTTGGAGCTTAGAGTGCTGAGGTAAAATACAAAGCCAAGTTCAATGGACTTTTCAGCGAGCGCTTGGAGCTGAATGCGATGCCTTTTGACCGTCAGCTCTTGCGAATCCAGGTGGGATGCGGGGAGAGAAAGCCATGATTATGATCATGCGCTTGCTCGTGATGATCTTTACCATTCTTTATCATGATCACAAGAATCGTATTACACGCGGGGTGATGTTGACACGTGTGGTCCTCACGATAGAAAGATGATTCTGAGCATGATGATTAAGTTGATCATTGATCATGATACGATGGCAGCAGATTTGCTATGATCTATACTATATAGGCCAGGGAAGTGAACCTTTAGATCAGATGTCGGCTGGTGGACCTCGCGTACTGGTTCAAGACTAGCTTCAGGGTAGCGGCTCACGTGTGGAGTGCCGCTGCACAAGCCCCGAACCATGGAATACATGCCATGTCCCGGGCTTCAGGTGGTGGCAGAGGTGCCCATCTACAGATTGCGCTTCGTGCCCGTCTACTGGACCGCCGGGCTGTTGAAGACCGTTAAACAAAGGCCCGGTGTTCAATCTTTGTTGCTCCTTCTGGTCCCTTGGCGGCGCACCAACTAAGTTGCGCGCCTGCCCGACTCTCATTTGCTATGAAGCCACCTGGCCGACTAAATCGCACACCCACCCGACTCTCATCAGTTACGAAGTGCATCCACCTAGCAAGCTGAATCGCATACCTGCCCGACTCTCATTTGCTACGAAGTGCATCCGGTCAGCGTAATGGCCCATTGCACACCAGCCCGACTCTCATTAATTAGCCACGAAGCGCATCCACTTGTAGCATAGCTAGCTGAAGCCCTTAGGTGTCGTTTGCTGCAACAGAGCCAAGAGAGTTGCAGGGACCAACCTCGCAAGCCTGCCGAGAAGAAAGGAAGAAAGAGCGAGTGAGTTGAGAGGGTACGTTGCCCCTAACTGTGAAGAGCATATTTTTCTGTAGAATGACTTGTTTACAGAAAGGTTGAAGTGCAAAAGTGACCAAACCCACTGTGCTTCTCAATGATTTCCAGGGCTTCAAAAGCCAGCATGGCCAAAATCATCGAACTTTACACTGATTTTCAAGGTTTTAAGAGCCACGCGGGCTGAAGTCATTGCATTGTGCGAGGATTTTGAACGCTTTAAGAGTAAGAGCAAAATGGCAAACACCCTTCTATTTTACAGTGATGTTGAAGGTTTGAAAAGCCAAGCGGGCCAACATCATTGTACGGTGCAAGGATGTTGACGGCAAAGCTAATCGCATACCCGCCCGACTCTCATCCTCTACAAAATTAAATCGCACACCTACGGCCCCCCCCGTGCGCCAGCACTTCCATGTTTGTATCACGTTGCTGTTGAAAACCGATCCGCAAGAACCGCTGAGCTTTCAATCCTGAAAGTGTATTTGAACGAATGCCGCTTTGTATTTTGCCACCAGGCAGTTCGAGCAGATTCCCCGAGAATGGAGGGTGGATGGCGGCTGGCTGCCGAGATTGGAAGTCCTTCGAGAGGAAGGGGCAAGTTCCAGGTCCAGGTTTGACATTCACGTCTACCTGGAACGGAATCCCACGTTCTACCTCTACAACCTTTGTCTGCTTCTTGGCTGACCTAGCATGTTCCATGCGTTTTGAATTTAAGGGCTGTAGGTTCGAAGCCACCTCCGCACTCAATTTCTCTGCCCTGTAAGAACACGAAAGCTAAGGCTGCTTTCATTGTTTACATTGTTGACCGCGATCGGCTTCTCCGTCGACGTTGGGTCAGTGTCCGACCGGTTGTCCGTGCACCTGACTCTGCTGCTCACGACCGTGGCCTACAAGTATGTGGTGACTACTTGGCTCCCGGTCAGCCTTGTCGAAAATTACCATGGCTTGAGTCCAAACTGGTAAGACTAGATATGATGACAGCCCCAGTGCTACTTCGATTTGGATGTCCGGGGTCAGTCTCATCTAGTCAGGCAAGTAGGTCCAGTAAGATGCGAGCCCCACAGAAGCTTTTGTAAATGGATTAGGGATCTTACTCGCCCGACGTTCTTTACCGTTAAGGGAGTGGCCCGGGCCTCCCACTTTGGGAGTACAAGTAGCGGCCAATCGCTCAGGTGAAATCATACCTAACGAGGCTGGACAAATTCACATTGCGATGCTTCTACTTCCAGATTGCGGCCATGGTGCTCTGCGCGCTTCAGCAGCCACTGCAAGACTGGGGGTGGGCTACAGAGGAAGGGATCCTGAGCTTCGTGATATGTGTGTACACCTTGCTTCTCGCTTTCCTTCTCGCTCTTGGTCTTACCGTCTTTCTGGGTGAGGGCGGGTACTGCAAACGCTTTTACCACTGGTGCTTCTATACAGACTGGCATGGAGTGTACATCAGCAATGCCCCGTGGCCGCAGTGGACGGAGATTTATGTCGGCGCCGACTATGGTGAGCCTGTAGACTTCTACGACCCATCCGCGGAACAGCTATCCAGGCCTGTGTGGGGAGAGGGAGCTGGTTTGTGTGGACATCGCTCCTGGAACACATCGCTGCCCTCGGACACGGATTCTGACTGATCAGGAGTAAGCGGCTTGCAAGAACCCTCCGAGGAGTCTAGGAGTCTTCCAGGACTGAAAAGGAAGGGGCGGGGGGGAGCCTGGCCCGGCGGGAATATAGCCATCTCCTGAAAGCTGCCCAAGTTCTGCAACCAGACGCTTTTTGTCCGTGCAGAGCGCGTGGCATCAGTACCATGTGTGACCGGTGTTTCCAGACGGGCGACGGCGGCGAGTGGCCGGTGTAGGGCTAACGAAAATGGGCACTCATTGCTTGTAGCATGCAATGGCATATCTCTCGGATGAGCAAGATCACTTGCTTGTGTTCGCTCCAACAGCACTGTAACTAACTAACACTTCTCCCCCCAAAGAAACTAACACTCCTACGAGTAGGTCAAAATCCCACAAAAGGTATTCTGAAGGTCGAAGGCGGAAATTGAAAGCTAGAGGAGGGCAGGTGGCAAAAGGGGCGCTGGAAGCTGAACCATCCAAGACTGGGAAGCCTTCACAGGCTTCGAAAGGATCGACGGCGAAGGCCTCGAAGGGCCAGTCAGGAAGGACATGCCCAATCAGCTCCAAGCAGGGGACTACTCCTATGTCCGACGTCTTGCTACAGTTGTATTCTAGCTTTTATAGACTTTAAGCCCTGAGTTCTGAAGTCCAATCGCATCACTATCCTTGAACTCTTCGAAATCGATCGCCCCAGGCACATTGTGCAAAAGCATCACATCCGAGAAGGACCTTGAAATTTGCACGATGCTTGATAAATTGCGGCTCCAGCGTTGTAGTTCGGAAACAGTTTTTGTGTGCCATGCGCGGGGCCCAGAGCCGCTAAGGATGTTCTGAGTTATGGCCTCTGTAGAGGATGTAGACCCACAAAGATCCGCAGTTTGTTGATGCAGCGTTGGGCTCCTGAACCCAGCTAGAACAGTCATCCGACCCTTCTGCACCAGATGTGTCGACGCATGACAGCCCCATTGTTGATTCTAAACAGCGTTGAGCGGGCCTCCGGTCCTTTCAAACCTGCATCCAAACAACTCCAATACCTCTTCAAAAAACACCTGAAGTCCCTAAGGCCCTAAACCCTGAACCCCCGGACGACCCCGCGACGACCCCGGACCTAGGTCATTTCGCTCTGAGTCTGAGAGTGCAGCGGGAGTGACCCAGGCATGGATTCTAAAACCGCAAAGGCTGCTAGTGACTGCTAGTGCTTCGAGGGCTTCGGGAAGCCTGCCAAGAAGGCTGTCCCCGTTTTGAGTCTTTATTGTAGTCCCAAGAGTATAGGAGGGGGGTGGAGGAGTGAGGACACTGTTGTGGGGATGTGAAGTGGTATTGCACCAGGTCGAAGACATGTCGAGCCAACGAAAGTACTGGTTTTTCAAAGCAAAACAAAGATGGCCGAGGTAGAGGTTCCCCATGCATCCCCGGAATCAAGCCTCGTCCGTTGGAAGCTGACCAGGCCCGTGGGTGGCCCGGTGGCCCGCGAGAAGACATCGCTCGAGGCTCGGATTTGGCTGGAGTTCGGCCTTGGGGGGGGCTACCAGGATTTAGGATTCATTCGAAAGAAGCGATCGCACGCGAATGCCTTTGCGGAGATGGGGGTGTCTCAATAGTCTTCGTCAGGTGATCCCCCAGACATGTGTCAACCAGACTTCTGGCAGCGCCGCCGAGCATTTTGTACAGACTAGACAGCAGAGAGAATGAGTTCCAGATTTTAGATTTTGTCACCCTAACCTGCACATTCCGGAGAGGTCGCATGCAGGACTCTGATACATAAGAGCACTGGGACTTGGCTCCCCGTGTTTGGTGACGCCATGGGTTGCTGCGGCAGTGCAGAAGCCACTGCCTGCAAGAACAACGACGAGAAGGTTGCCTCGCCTTTGGCTGTCAGCTTCAACTGTGGAGGAGTGGGTGAGGACCCCACCGGCCTGCCACGGTTGCTGGGCCGCAGCGCC